TAATTCGAACGCGCGTCAACCAATATATCACTGTTGTTCGTTGTTTCGTTCACACGGAGGGAACTCGATTGAAATTTTATTATTCCGAAAATTGCCCCTATAATTTGGAATTCTCATTTTGCCGTACTTGTTAACTGTTAAAATTCGACATGGGATGAAAATTGAAAAACACGGGAAAACTAAAAATAAAAAAAAAAATAAATAAACAAGGGAGAGAGGAAGAGGAAGGAAAAAAAAAATGTGGGAAAAAGTGAACGTCCATGGCATTGCTGAGTGAGCGAATTTGGCGCCCGGGGTACGACCGGGGACCGGGGACCGGGGACTATCTCCCGTATATCCACCGACCCGGGGCTATACACTGCTACACGTATGTTTTCAATTTTCATTTTATATCCCCTCCTCTCTTGTTTCCTCATCCTCCCCTTCACCAACTCGTATCGCTGTCGCTAATGTATCGCCTGGTCGTCGACATATTTTGCCATTTCACCTTCATTCCCCTCTCGTTTTGTTTTCTCGTGATAAAAATAAAACAGGGAGATTTTTCAGAACATTCGGAATAATCCGAGGGAGAGGCTGTTTTCAGCTCAAGGCGGAGGGAAAAACATCATTTTCGATACACCATTATTGTTTTTAGCTTTTTGCCAGTTTTCGGGGTACATGAGTGAGAAAATTAAAACCACGAATTTTAATTTGTTTTTTGTTTTTTTTTTTTTTCTACGCCTAGGGAGCTGTGGACGAGCCGAGGAGTTGATTAGTTGTATATTGTAATTAATTATTGGGATTATGCGTAGGATGCGAAGGTTTGGGAGTTGTATGGAGGACAATGAAAAACATAGGAAGATAGTAGTGAAAAATAAATTTAACTGAATTGGATAAATTGAGAGATGAGGTAGAGGAACCCACCGAGAAAATGGAGATTGTGAAGAATGAAAACGCTTTAGAGGAGACAGGGATTATAATATGTATAGTTGTGGGTGTTTAGGGTTGTCGTGGACGCGGAAGGGAAGGTCCATGAAGGTTTGAATGAGTGAGAAAGGAGTGATAGGGGTAGTAGGGGAGGTAGGGATGGAGGACATGGGGAAGGACATGGGGATGGCATGGGGATGGTATGGGGATGGCATGGGGTTGGCCCAAAGGCAACAGAGAACAGGACGGCTATTTCCCACGGAAGAGGAGCGAGCCTGGGGCTGTTATATCGAAGAGAAGGGGGTTGAAGGATGGGCTTCTGGATAGGATACACATGCGGTATAGGCTGTCTCTGTTCTCTTAGCCCCGTAGCACGTACATGACCGGGTATATGCATGGTCTCCTGTATCGCGTTGTCTAACCAATTAACGCTATTGAGCACGGACCGTGGATACTGACACCCTTGTAGTGTGGGTGTAACTATTTTCCTACAAGTTCACATACCTTACAACTTGCAAGTACGTGTCTTCAAATATAACCATATATCATGGTTAATCGTTGAAATTTAATATCATTCATTTATCTTGTTTGCTAGGAAATAATGTATTTGGAAATTCATTGAACGGCAAGATGAGAATTTCTCACTAGTGTTTGATGATGGTACAGTTCAGTCGATAGCTCCACTCCATACCCCGGTTCATTAAAAAACTTGGGTTATCCATAGAACAAACCCAAGCCTTCCAATAGTCAATTAAGTCACCATAAAAGAAAATAACCCGATAAAAAAGTTGTCACTGAGCTTTCATAATGAGGCACTCAGTCGTGTCGCGGATTTCAACGTATACAAGTGAAAGAGACGCTGCGCCCTCATTTAAAAATCCACATGAGAGTCCTAAGCTACTTATCCTTTATTTCTCTATGCTATATATATACATATCACCTCAGCCTCCTATTTCCTAGCTGTTAAAGAGCATAACGACGCCACTCGGTTGAACCGATCTCAAAGGCACACCAAATGGCAACCGTAGCTGCTCAAAGAGGCTTCGGAATATAATGAAGTCGAGCTCGTTTCACCAAAAACGAGTGCTGATACGAAACATCGATTTCCCCTCCCTCCCCCCAAAACTATATTTATACATCCTCCACCCGCTCATTCCCTCTTCAGACGATAGTGTCTGGAGCTCCAGCATCGGGTAAAACTCAAAAGTACCAGACGGTCCGTGTCTTCACGACAAAGGAGAAAATAGATGCCTTTGACTGACGACTTACGACAGACTAGACGTCGGTACCTCAATATTAGCCTCCCACCTCCACCCGCCAAACCTCAAGCCCCCAAAAGACGCCTTTGATGTGATTTCCAATGGCACCCAACCGCCCCCTCACCCTTCACAGTCATGCTATGACGACAATTTTTACCACAATAGGTGGATTAGATATAAATGGAATATTTATCGTTTAATAGACATGAGTTTCACTTTGAACACATTAAAAATTCCATTAAGCCCTTCACTAGGGCTCAGATCAATTTATTTATGCAAAATAAAGGATGAGTGATAGAGCCATCTCTTTCAATACATCAACGTGTGGGTGAATGAAAATTTTGTATTAAAAATTCTTTAAATTTTCATCAAAGCCAAATCAAATTTAGCCGAAAAAATGTCAAGTTGAATAAAACTGTCACTGGCATCTAATAACTATGGACAATTCTTGGAAATTCATTCGGGTCTCCTCTTGTTGATTAAGTCCAAGTCCAGTTGATTAATCATGCCACGTTAGCCGAGTGAATCGTCAGGGCACACGTAACTGGAAATGAAGGGAAACCACCCGGGATTCGTTGACACGCGTTGTCCCCTTACTAGGCTCGCGCACACCTAAACCTATCCACTGATGATTCTATATCACCCGTCGATATAACCTATCCCGGAAAGGGGCCTAAACCTCCTCATCCATATAACGATCGCCGTAGGAAACACGATAGGATGTTACATAGCAACTATTACGCCCGCATATACGACATTGTGGTAGTGTACGTTTTCAGTTAGAGTACCCCCAGGACAATTTAACGAGCATTTTTGGTCGTCCAATGGTGGAGGACACTGGAGAGCCCGGGTTACGGGCCATAAATCCAGAAAGCGTCATCGTAATCGCGGTTTCCTGGGGTACATGAGCTCTCCAACCTCTTATTTTTTTTTATCATTCCTTGACATTCGCATGCCCCAACAATTATCATCACCATCAATTACAGCGAGAATCTTTTTTCCAATCATCCTTTTGTTATGACTAATGTTGTTTAACCTGCCGAGAAGAGGAGTTGAATTTCAATTTCAATGTATTCCCCCTTGGAACAAACAATCCTCCATGATTTATGGTAACCTAATTGGAAATGCATACGAAGTACACGCGGAATTTCATTAATCCGAGAACTCAATGCAAATTTAATCATTTTATTCAGCCAATTAAATCAAAATTTAGTTGAAATTTATCCCTGAATTAATTCACCAATTAAATTCTGCACGAACATTCTTATCAATTCATCCAATAAAACAGAAAAAAAAAACCAACAAACAACACAAGTACTTGTGCTTCAACACCCATGAAAACACGGTCCCTCAATGATATTGATTGCAATGTTGATAGCCGTCATTACCCCTATCGCCCTGTGAATTTCACACAGAGAGCAAGTATAATTGCAAGTGATGGAAAAAAAAAAATAAGTAAATCTCTCGTATAGCCATAATGACGTATAGTAGTGTACAGTGGCCAAGTCTGTGCTTGATCAGTCGGACTTTTTTCCAATGTTCGATGGACCTCTATAGATAGAGGCTACATCAACTGGGTCAACTATACCCCCCTTCCTCCCCTTCTTGAGATACACGTGAAGCTCATAGAGCGAGTGGAGGTCGAGACCTCACTCGACATACGTCTTTCCATTCATTGTCATTCAATCTCTTTACACACGATACAGTCGCTCTATTCAAAGCAAATGGGCCCTCCCCCTGTCCCCTGCCCATTGCGCACTGCTGGAAGAATGAAAGAGAAAACGTCAGTGCCTTTTCACTAAAAAAAAAAATGACATGAAAAGTCTCGAGCGAGAATGACACTTGACAGGAAACAATTGATTTTTTTGGTAGAGGCAGAGGGGAGGCGAGACAGGGGTGGGATATCGAGAGTGAAGTCTCGCGATATTGAGAGCGAAAAACCGGATGCGGTCAACTGCATCGTTGGTCGGAAAGGTGATGGCATCAAAGGGCTCTCGTCACTCTTTCATAGCACGTCGAGAGATGAAATAAATAAAATAAAAAAAGAGCGCTCGAGTGACAGACATCTTGTAGTGGAGTCGATCGGATCAACGCTCCTGTTACAGAGCTGTAACACGATGCCATGGGTAACTGACACTGTTAGAGTTCGGGTTGGCAAGTTGTGATTGCTTGGGCTTCATATTCAAATGAAAAAGAGAACTGTGAGAAGAAAACAATTGCACTGGATTTTAAGGCATGAAAAAAAAAATCTCACATTCTCTTCTATCTTTAAAAATCAAAAAAAATTGAAAACTTGAACTGAATATTCTTTTTTATTTTTGTCAAGAGCAAGTCTCGATATTTATCAGTGGAGTGAATAGCGTTGGGTTTGAATACAGCTCTTGCAATTTTCGTAGTGAGTTAAAGAAGCGTTGGAACGTTAAAGTTCGAAGGAAAATACATAAATCCGGGGGGATAGTGTTGGGCGTACGTTGCCATTTGACCCGGATCTCGACGATTTACAAGGCAAACTTTTGGATGCAGAGGAGTGTGAGCACGTTTTCCCAGATATTCCAGGGTGAGGGTCGTTTGCGAGCTTCTTAAGGGAGTTTGTCACGTTGCTATCCTCCTTACACTCAAGTTCTCCCACATTTTCCGACTGGTTATATCGCAGGGTTTATGTACTCGCAATGTGTACTGGAATTTTTAGACGGGCGTCGAAAGAGAATTAAACGACCGGTGGGTTTGCGATGAGTGAGATGTGGGATGTGGATGGAGAGAGAAAACGAGAGGAGGGAATTATGGAATTATGGAATCGGACGGTGATATTTATGAGGAAACTTGCTCGTGTTTCAGGGGCCTGTGAATTTCCGGCAGGCTGGGCGGGACAATGGTTCCAGTCCGGAAAACCATCACCAGTCACTATAAATGCTACCAACATTGGAGAACGTACCTGTGTAGAGAAGAAGGGGGATATGTACGTCGTTTATGATAAGTGAGTACTGAAACTATTGTTTTATCTGTAGGAGATTAATACCAGCTGTTAAATTCTAACTGGAACATTGCCACCACTTTTTATGCTTACTATACTATACTTTAGAAATTTTTCACACTTTCATTTTGGCTCACTATTGGAATTTCTCCATTTTTTCTTTGCAGTTCAAGTTCTGGAGAGAATTACAACTGCCTAATAATCAACGATCGTCACACTAACGTCATCCAGTTTCGCGAAGGTGAGTAACCCCTCGACTCGATAGCCAATAAGCTGCTCAAAAGAACCCAACAGACAGAAAAGGAGCAGAGAGAAGCGCGAGAACATTGCCACGAGAAACACGATACCACTTACTTTGCTATCGTTTGCATTTCTCGACGGGTACTCAGTGTATAAACACCGGGTATATCGTGATACCTTATCAACAGAGGCGCGTCGTATCGCTGATGGATTTTACGAGATCGAATCGCCCAGGATGACATTCCGCCCGACTAAAATCATCATTCCGGTGTATCACATATCATGATAAAACTTATCTAAATTGATATTGTGCCCTCTGCACGCCAATTATTTATATAATAAGCCCTTCAATTAGTCCGCCACTTTCAATGGAGCTTGTAGCGATGCAGAATTTTTTAAGAAATTGAAAAGAAAGAGTCATTAGGACGCAAATAAGAATTATAATATGGCGTTGTTCATGGAGGCCTACCAGGAGCAGGCCACACTTTGAAGCCTCTACCGGGCGTTGGAGGACAATTTAGTTTGCTCAGAGCACTTGGTGAGAGCACTTATGACAATCCAATTAAAAACATTCACTACCAATTATCTATTGTCTGCATTTCTCCATCTTAAATATTCTATTTAACGCCTATACTTGAGATCAAACTTTCAGATAGACCCCATTTAAACTTTTGGCAAATAGAATATAATGAAAGAAGAATTTTTCAACATAGGAGAAATAAAAGGAAATATTACGAATCGTTTGAAAGGGGTGGATAGCGTAATTGATCCCTTGAAAGCCGAAAAAATTTTGCCCCTCCATTTTGATATGTGCAAGGAGTGGCGAACAAAGCCCTTTGGGGTTGGATATGATTTTCGCGAGGGTATCCTCTTATTGTAGAAGTATCCTGGATGAGAGCATCTACTCAACTGAACATTGGGCCATCTAACGCTCGATGATTCCCGAGGTTGACGGGCGTGCCATAACTAAAACTGACGTCCATTGTGTCCTGCATTCGCCGCTAGGCCCTCGCAACATATTCCAGCCTATTCCCTCGGCCTATCCAAACTACTACGATATGCCATATGGCGGATTGCCCGAGCGTTTTAGTGGATTATCCAACGGACAATGGAAAAAGAGGGTAAAAAAATCATCCCGTGACAGAATGATGATGTGCTCCGCTCGAAATTCACAAAGAGAATTTCAGAATGAGTGAAAATGCGATTGAAATTGCTTCAATCATATTTCTGTTGTTTTCTCTTCTCTCTTTTTTTTGAGTTTTTTTTTTTTTTTTTTTTGCACAAGCAATATAACAAAGCGGATTTCTCTACTCTGAGTTTAGCTATTTGGCGGACTTTTTTCGTGATTCAATGTCATGTCTGTCTGATACATTTCCGTGGGTATTATCCACTATCTCGAGGACGAATCATTTACCCCCCGATGCGTTATGCCTCAGAGACACCGTCGAGTACGCAGACTACGGCCAAACTCGGAAATGTAATTTCCCAGTTGAGCGAGTTCTCGTGGTATCAGCCACTGGGATTTCATCGTTAATGATCTTAGCGCCCAGATACAGACGAGGAATCATTCTTATCAATGGTAAGATCGCGAGTTGTGAGCGCAAGTCAGAGGCGGGAGGAATGATTCTTGAGGAGTGTGCTATATGAATCAAATTTCTTCCTTATATATAATCCCTGAGGGTATGACGTGAGTTTGGAGCCCATTGAAATATACCAAATAATCAATTTTTCTTCACCTTAGAATGCAATAATGAATAATTTAATAAAGAATGAGCGGAGATTTGTACATGATACGTCATTGGCACTGCTGGCTTGTTAGAATTTTCTACTTTATCAGGGGTGATGAATGCCTGGATTGAACCGGCATAGCTGAGTTTTTGGTGCTCATTCAGTGGCTCCGAAGCTAGCCAAGCAGTAGTGGGAAGCTTGGTAACTTTTGGGTTGGATGTAATTTGCCAGTCGAGTGAGCTCTCGCGATTAAGGGGTCGACACGGTGCAACGATCCTTTCCTCAGTTTCAGTGTAGTCCTCTCGTCTCCGTCTGTACTTTAAACAGTCTACATATAGAGCGACATAAAGTACATCGAGCGAAGAGGGTGAATTCTGTGCGGCATCTTGTCTGTTCGCCTGTCGCTGGAGCTGTTACTCGCTACTCGCTACTCGCTACTCGCTACTCGCTACTCGCTACTCGCTACTCGCTACTCGCTACTTGCTACTTGCTTCTTGCTTCTCGCTCCTACCCCCTGCCCTCGGGGGAGATGGAATTTCGTAGTCAGCATACACATTTGGGGAATGGCCGAGTAAAACGAGAATGGTAACCACGATAATTCGCACTCCCGCACGCACAATCCAGCGTTTGGCCGGGCGTGTAACGTCGTTACCCAGTCAGCAGGGCCTCCCCTCACCTAGAGATACACCAACTATTGCCGTGTATATAACCGTGTATACGACTCTCAGTAACGTGGAAAACCCGTTGGAGGTGCACACTGGTGAAATCCCGCCATTACAGAAGCAATCTGAAACGCGAGTGTTTCGGGTATAAACGTGGTTATGCATTTCCCCTCTCGCCCACCCCGCCCACAGCAGTAGGGTGTGAACCCCCTTTCACTCCCCTTTTATTTCCTCATCTTTTGCACTGTGTACTCTGTCCGACGAAATAACCGCGACGCGAGATGACCCTTTCCTCGTTTCACATCACTACCCTTTAACGGATTTTCGCTTCACACCAGTTCTACGAGGTGGCTTTTTTCAAAAAGCATGACTTTTCCATCAGCCACGCGGGCTATTTTCGTACGAGGGGTTTTCGTTATTACCGGGGGATTAGATGGTGTCGTTAAATTTCATTTGGGGAGGGCGAAGGGTAAGCTTAATAAGGAATAATGGCATGTAAGTGGCCTCGGTATTTTCAACGCTGAAACCATTAAATTGGGGATTTCGGTTTCGTTTGATTCGATAAATGTAATGATGGTTACATTATAATAATAATTAGTAAAAAAAAAATCAAATTTCTCAAGGATTTTGATGGGCAAATTTTCACCAAATGAAAATTTATCTGTGGAAATTCATTTCATACAGCTAACCACTATATTTACATTTATTCACAGTCTATTTGTTATTTATTTTCATTGTTGTGAAAAATAAAAAATGAAATGGCTGTCATAAAGATGTACAATATTGGGCAAGTCTCTCTCGGGCAATCAATCATTCACTCCCTCATAACAACATCTCCGTCACCCCATTGTTCCTTAAACATCTGCATGACCACATAATCATCCACTTGAACAGATTCCCCCAGAGGAAAAAGTCTGAGCCGAAAAAGCTGAGAGTCACTGCCCCCTCCCAACCCCTCATTGTGATACATTTACGGCCGACATTTACGTGGTGAGTGGAAAATGATAACGGACAGATGCAGTGACGTATTAATACGTATCCCGGGCATGACTCGACATTCATGCGTCACTCGAACCCCTTGAAAAAGGGAGCAGAAGGCCGCCCCGCGACAGCAGAGAAAGCGAATTCATTCGTCCTATTTATATTTAATACGATATCGGTCAACTCGTGTTGCTCGTTGAGCGCTTGATTAATGATCTTTATATTCAATTACTGTTGTGTTGTGCTGTGTTTTATTGTGTTGTGTTGTGTTGCAGCATCGCCCCCCCCCCCCATCTCCCCCCGTCTGGATATAGACAGGTGTATGGATTTGTAATCACACGATACGTATGAGGGACGATACGCGATATCTCCATGTGGATGCTCTCTCGCGAAAACCATGGTTAACGATGAGAGGCCAAACCCATCCCATTCCCCCCATTCAGGGGGATAACGTACCACTATCCTATATATTGTAGATTTTGCTATGGCTCCCGAGCTCTTCGGTTCGACCAGTCGAGCGTAACTTGGTGGCGCATTACCTATTCGTATTTGGTCAGGACAATGGCCTGATAGCCGCTTGAAAAATGTACTCTCAAATTGATAAACAAAAATTGAATTATGAGGGGATGAACAATAAAATTTCAGCCATTCTTCATTCACTAAAATATATTGTTAGATTTATCCCGACAGTTTTATAAAAAACCATTGAACTTTATTATTTTGCGGTCATATTTTTAGGGCAATAGTATAAGTGATCGAGTCACCTGCTTGCATTAATAAAATATCGTCTGGAGTGGAAATAGAGAAGAAGATGCTCTGACAAGTCCAACATTTGCAGGATTCAGTGTAAAATCGACAATAGTGACATCAGACTTGCAAGTCTCTTCTAAATATAATACTCTTTACACGTGATTTCCGATAGATTTGCATAAAAAATTTCCACCAGGTCAATACAGTTTTGCTCTGCTTTAACATCTCGACTTATTAGAAAATCAATTGGATTATGTGGAATGAGAAAAACCAGTCTGAAATTTACCAAAAGATTAGATCTGACTAATTGAAATTCCACCTCTGCTACTAAATTTAGAAATTTAGAAAAGACAACTGAAAAAAAAAATGGAAAATCTCCAATTAAAACATTCATAATACTGAGGATATAGTTGGTAATTAATATTTCAAGAAATTAAAAAGTTTTCCGTACGACACTCATTGGAGTTGAATAAAAAGCAAGAGGGAAGGAGGATTAGGATTTGCTCTACGGCATCTGCCATAATAACCCCCACACAGTAGAGTCACTTGGCACTTATCTACCTAATGCCATGGTGCTTTTGGTTTTTCTTCTTTTTCATTCTTTTATTTTCATTCTTACGTCATTGTTGGTAGGTAGTGGTAGTATCCTGTAGCTTGCTTATCTCCCCCAAGGATCCACCAAGGCTTCTCTCCCTTCAACTTCACCTTCACCACTCGGTTCTGTCGCTAATCAACAGACGTCAACCCTATTTTTCCTCTTTCCTTTTCTTTCCCTCATTTATTTTATCCGACCCTCTCCTGGTTTCATCTTCTCTTCTTACTCGTTCCATGAATACCTCTCACTTATTATGACAGCCTGGATATCCACCCCGTCACAATA